GTCGAAATATATACATTGAATCAACGTTGGGTATTGATCGTAAAAACAATCAACTTTATGTGATGTTTTTACATACATTGGAAAAACGTTGGTTTATATAGGTTGAATTAACGTTAAAATATATACATTGGATCAACATTGGATTTAGATCGTAAAAACAATCAAATTTTTGCGATGTTTTTATATACATTGAACCAATGTAAATTTGCCAGATGTTTTTAGTTCCGTCGGTAATAATTTTATCATTAACCAATTGACATAGGATCAACGTTGGTTTTGCATTGTAAAAAAGAGCCGACGCTCGCGATAGTTTTACATACGTTTTAGATACGACTTTATTTAACCTTTTATAGAAGTTTTCAAAATTAAAACAATTTATGTGAGAAAAAAAGGTTCTTTTACCACAGTTTTATCAAGAAATCTATATATCAAAAATTTTCTTCTAAAAATGTCAAAACTTTTTATTGAATTTTCCAATTTTCATAAATTTTTTTCACCTTTTAATACTGTATTTGAGGGTTTTCTAATGATATATAATATTCAAGTAATTGATCAATTTAAAAAGATCACATACCTACCCAGCTAGCACACACACGTTGTTAAAACGTTAGAACAATGTCGCTCGCTTCGTTAGCCCAACATCGCCTGCCAACGTTGTTTTTATATCATTATGGTTACAAATGTGACGTCACCAACAACTAAAAACCAATGTTAATAAAACGTTTATTTAAAGTCGGAAAATGGTTTCATCTTCTGCGTTGATTCAACGTTTTATTTTATACGTTGTATTTTACGTTGTTCCAACGTTGAATCAACGTAAACTTTAAATTCAACGTTGAACTTTAATTGGCAAAACGTTGCATTCAATATTATTCAGAATTAAATTTAAATTCTATTTTCTTTATATATATATATATATATATATATATATATATATATATATATATATATATATATATATATATATATATATATATATATATATATATATATATATATATATATATATATATATATATATATATATATATATATATATATATATATATATATATATATATATAAAGAAAATAGAATATATATTCAGAATTAAATTTAAATTCTATTTTCTTTATATATATATAAATATATATTTCTTTATATATATATATAAATATATATTTCTTTATATATATATATATATATATATATATATATATATATATATATATATATATATATATATATATATATATATATATATATGTATATTTCTTTATATATATATATATATATATATATATATATATATATATATATATATATTTCTTTATATATATATATATATACATATATATATATATATATATATATATATATATATATATATATATACATATATATATATATATATATATATATATATATATATATATATATATATATATATATATATATTTATATATATATATATATATATATATATATATATATATATATATATATATATATATATATATATATACACGTAAGTTTATATACGAATAAAGAAAAAGATGTAAAAATTAAAGATGTACGAATAAAGAAAAAGATATATATATATATATATATATATATATATATATATATATATATATATATATATATATATATATATATATATATATATATATATATATATAAACTTTTTATTCACAAAGAAACTTTTCTTACTATCACATTGCCATTACATATTCGAAATTTATCTTTTTTAGAAGATTTCTTTTGATTTATATTAAACAAAGAGCATTTAAACAACCATTTATCAATCAGAAACGGAGATCATTCGTAACTCTTACCATTTTTGAAAATGCTCTTTTAGCAATTAGTTATGGGAAGGGTTAAAAAAATTCAATATATAATGTTAACTTTAAAAAAACTGCTTCTAGCTTATTTTTATGAACAACTTGTAAACATCCTAATGGTTATATATTCTTCTTATTTAACATGAACTTGGAAAACTAGACATTTTTATCAGGGAATTGTGTACCTATGTCTGGAGGATAAATAGTACACAAGCAGCAGCAAAAATTACAGGAACGGTAATGGTCGGAAAACTGTTTAGAAAACTAAACTTTCTCTTTGCAAACCTGTGGGTAGAAAGCCTTTGTTTTAAACACATTTTTAACTTTTTTATGAAAAAGAAAAAGTATTTAATTCTAAATTTTTCACTACCACTTCATTCTGTCTCTATTTCACTAACTCTTATTTTGCGTATCTTTTTTACTGTATTTTCATGCGTGTGAATTATGTTTATGGACTTTCAAGCACATTCCTTAGTGTTAAGAAGATTTATTTAATTTCTTTAAAATTGTAATGGGTTTCTTTTGTGTTTCACATTTTTCATCTTTATCCAGAACATCTAATTTTAGGGTCTCAAGGATATGTATATAATTTGCATTTAAAATTTTAATAAAAATGACTCTTGCTGACCACCTTGCTCTACTCAGGATTTTGATTGTTACTTTTTCGTCCGTTTTTAGCACTATAAAAGCACTTAAAGCACTTACAAGACAATTACAAATTGTGTTGCCTACTCGGAGAATTTTTAAAACATTTTATATGCCAATAAAATGTTTTAAAAATTTTCTCTACTCTAATTTTCTAAGTGTTTAGCCGAGAGTGGATCAAATTTTTAAAGAAAATCCATGGGCCAGAAAAGGTTTCTATTACTGAAGTTGTCTATTTTTAAATTACCTCTAAAAGCTTGATCTTGACTGCACAAAAACTTTAAACATTTAACTACTCTTCTCAGAATATCCCTCTCGTAACTTTCTTCATCCTTTTTTATATACTGTTTCAACTGAACATTAATTTCTCCTTTTATTGTGACTTTTCCAAAATAGCAGTGGGCTGCATAAGTGTGCCATTTGCATTGTTCATGCCTCTGTATAGAACGATCTCTAAGTGACCAGCCATCGAATCCTGTCATGTGATCAGTCATCGAATCCAGTCATGTGACTATTCATCGAATCCAGTTTTAAGTTGTCATTTAAATCTTGAAAAATTAGAAGAAACAAAATATTTTTGTAGACAAAAACAGATTAACATGCAAACCTACTTATTCCGCTCAGTCATATTATTTTATGTATTAAAAAGTTTGACATTTTATACATTTTAGTGATAATAAGGCCCCAACAAATCCACAGTTGCAGTGACATGTATACTTAAAAAATTGAAGACCCTGGACAAAATAGAAAATTATATTTCTTTACTTTCCGTTTGTATTTTTGTTTTTATTAAATTGGATTTTATAAAATAATTGAAAGATATAGCTTATGGAGTCGAAAAAAAGCAAAAACTTGAACACATCTTATAAAAAGGTTGATTGCATGTTGCAGGTAACGCGACAAAGAAACTAAAACTGTTGCAATCAGTTTCTTAACTTAAAATACAATGGAAACTTTCCATCATGGTAAATCACCATGACTTTCTATCTGGTTTTAATGATCAAGATAGTTGGTGGATATTTCTTAGACACATCTTGAGTAACATTTTGAAAGAAAAATTTATTTAAAGACTCTAATCGGTTTCTTCAACCATACCAATATATTGATGAAATCAATATGTCCTAAGAAAATGTCAGAAACAAACGCTTTTTATGTCTGCAACTCTAGTTTTTTAAGAGAATGGCAAAAGTTACTTTTTACACTATTTAAAGTAGTTAAGGGCTGATAAAAGCAACACTTTTGAGTTTTGTGTCCGTTTAAACTGCTCCAAATTTCTCATTAAGATATTGGAAAACCTTCCCCCTATAGAATTAAAACTTTTACAAAATTTCTCATTAATTCTGGTTTAATTTGAGGCAGTTAATTGATTTTTACCAAACCGCAAAGTTGATGATATACATTGTACTTGACTACAGCAAACTCAAATTGCGGAGACCCGTTCTTTTATTTAAAATTAAGTCTTGTAATCACAACTATTCCAGAAGCATTAGGAACCCATTTCTTAAAATAACACATCCGCTTACATTCTAGATATAATTTACATAACTTATCACTGTGAGTATTGCTGCTATGGAAACAAAGCGGCTCTAATAGATCTTTAGCTTGAATTTTTAAATAGTCTCCGATATTCTGTTAAAAGTTTAAAGCCAAGTTCATAAAATAGACCATTGATATCTGTAAAAAAACATTTAATATCTCTTTTAGTGTAAAATGCATATCTAGTTTTGAAACACATTGGTTTCTAGGAGTAAAAGATTCCGTTTCTTAATGCGGGACCTTAAAACTGCATTTTTTTTTTTTTTTTTGCAGAGTTGAAAACCTCTTACAAATTTGTTAAAACCAGCATGGAATAAAAGGTGTGATTTATTCTTTTACAATTCTTCTTTTTAGGAAAAAAGACTCTAGCATCTTACTTAGTATTATGAAAAACTAGTTGGTTCACAGCACCTATGGGTATTTAGAAAAGCATTAAGCATATTTTTTTGATTAGCCATTGTGTTAGCCCAGAATAACATATTGTGCAGCAAATATAAGGGACATAAATTTTGTACTTCATCTTCTGTAGTCAACTTTCCATAAACCTTGTTCTTTTCATTGTAGCTAATTAAAAAAAAACTATTTGTTGATCAGTGTTTATATTCAACAATTGAATATTCAACATTCAAAAAATGCACTTAACGTTGATAAAAGTTTAAAAGGTTTCAAATAAACAGTTATACAGTCTTAAGTGCTGATCATATTTTGTGTTGTACTCTCTGTTGTAGCAGTACTTATATAAACATTATACGAGTTTAAATTCATAACTTTTTTTTTTTTTTAACTTTTTAAAAACTTAAGTAATGTTTTTTAATATTTCTTTTCATATCGTGTCACTTGATGGATTTATTAATATTTGCTTTCTTTTACGAAATTTCAAATAAAATAATTTTATAATTAGATTCAATATTTGAGTAAATAAACAATACGGTTTCCTATTGTACGCAAGAAAGACACAAATATGTCCCTGACATAACAACGAAAAGTAAATGTCATATTGTTTAAAACAGCTCATAAACAGTCAGCTAATAATTTTGTTGTCAGAATGTTTTGTTTTTTGACATCGTCACCGCTACATTTACGTATTTAAATATATGCATTCATTTTTAAAATTTTTATTGAGGAAAACAGTATTGCAAGTGGTAACTTTAAATATAAACGTAATTACTTTGGAACTTCCTTTAAAGGTGTACTAGAATCTTTTACATGCTTTAATAATTATTAGAATTAATATAAACAAATTTTTAGAAAAAAAAAAAAATTTAAACCATTCTCTTGTCTTTTAGATGACGATAAAGACTCTACTAGCAGTTTTATTTTTCTGTCTTGCAGCCGTTGAATGCAAGGCGAATATAAAACATCAAAATTGCGGACATCTAGATTCAAGTGAGTATATGTATCTTAATTAAAAATCTATGTTTCTGTGGCTTTGATAAATCAAAAAATGTATAAGAAATCAAATCGTAAAAATTTCAAGAAAATGACATAGAGTAACTATATGCCTAGTTTTTATATTTTCAATTTAAAAATATAAGAACTTGGGATAGAGGTTTTCTAAATGTAAGAGTTTACAGTTGACACTCGATATTTCTCTCGGTATTTCAAACTTTTATCCCGGGCCTCTGAGAGTTCGAGATACTGAGAGTTAAATGTATATATTTTGTATTAAAAGTACAATGGAATTAGAATAGTTAAGTTTTTTAAACTTCTTTTAAAAACTTGTTATTAGTCATTAGAATTATAAACAAAGCAAGATTTTATCTATTTTTCGTTATTCATATCTCTATTTGTTACTCTACAAAGTTTTCAAATATAGGTATGAATAATGCCCTTTTGCCTGGGCAACTTAACTAAATTAGCACTCATCTAAATTAAAAAACTACAAATCATCTATGCAAAACAAAAACAAGTCTATATATATTAAATGCTAATAACATTTAATATTTAAGACGAGTTACATCAATACCAATCTGCTGCTTATAAATTGATAAATCTTATTGTGTTCATTAAACAAATATTTATAACATCCATTTATTCATGTTTAGGTTAAAAAATTGCAATTATATTTATAAATTTAAAAAGGTTTTAAAAAATACAATAATATTTGTTAATTTATAATGCGATTGCAGTTTTTATAATTTGATTGATTATCTTTTTAAATATGGTCTAAATGATATCTTAACTATAAAAATTATTGTGATAAATAAATTATTGTGAAAAATAATTTTTTTAGTTAAAATATTGTTATGAAGATGGTATAATTTAAATTATAAGGAAAATAAAAACTTATAACTAATTGATAAATTAGGAAAATAAAGAAAAACGTTCAACTGGTATACTTTGTGTGAATTATAACTTACTGTAACCTATTAATGAATGCGTTTAAACTGTCTACGTAACGTGTATTGACATAATTTATTTTATCTCTAGATACTATTGTTAGCATAACACCTTGTGAAAAAGAACCTTGTACTTTGGTTAGAGGAAGTAATGCAACTCTTGAAATTCAGTTTAAAGCAAAACATTTTAGTAAACAACTTAAAACAAAAGTCTACGGTAAACTGTTATTTTGGGTTCCATACTACAACTTTGGCAAAGAAGACTCATGTCTTGATAATGGAATAACTTGTCCAGTAATAGAAGATGAAGAATACAGCTACAGTCAATCTTTACATATTTCAAAACTTAATCCTAAGGTATTCGGTGGTTATACTAATGGCCAACTTACGGTTTTCTGGTGATTTGTAAACCGTTGGTTCGCTCTACTAATTTTTTTCTGAATATTAGGTATCAGACCTTAAACTGACCTTTTTATCAAAATAATACTTTTTTTAATTTCATTTTAGCGCTCCCTAGAAGTTTGCTTTTCAAGCATTTGCCCAGTTTATTTCTGTCCCCTCCGTAACTTAATTCAATTAAAATAATTTTTTTGCTAAATAAGTAAGTAAACACTGTATTGAAAAGTATTTCGCGCCGGTAATAATATTAATATTATTTTCAATAATAATGCACCTTAAAATTTATATTATCATGTTAATAATAGTAAACTATTTTTAGATTTCCATACCAGTAAAATGGCTAATTCAAAATGAAGCTGAAAAGGATTTGGTTTGTGTAATAATACCACTTGTACTGAAATAATTCTGAGCTGTATACAATTTTTATTGCGAAATAATTCTAAGCTGTATACAAATTGTATTGACATTTATGCGTTTTTTATTTAAAACTTTTGTAATAAGTACAAATATTGTATTAAATTATGATATAAAACGAAAAATATTATAACGATTATTACCGCTTTTAGTTTTTTGTATTAGGAATAATGAAATGTGAAACTTTAATCTAGTTTCTATTCTATTTCTATAAAAAGAATTATTTTCAGCCCTATTTGATCGCTGTTTTTTTTTTTAATTTAATTCCTGTACATGATATTCACATGACTTTTTGACTACAGTCTTGTTTCAAACTTTTTGACTACAGTCTTGTTTCAAACTTTTTGACTACAGTCTTGTTTCAAACTTTTTGACTACAGTCTTGTTTCAAACTTTTTGACTACAGTCTTGTTTCAAACTTTTTGACTACAGTCTTGTTTCAAACTTTTTGACTACAGTCTTGTTTCAAACTTTTTGACTACAATCTTGTTTCAAACTTTTTGAAACACTGTTCAGAAATTTAAAACATTGTGGTTGAACGCTTTTAGGTGACTTTTTTTTTTTTTTTTTTTGCCATACATTTTTGGTCTTGAGGATGTCGATGCAACAAAGTAACATCGGCAAGGATCAATCATAGGAAAATTTTGCTGTAAAGTTGAAGAAAGTAATTACAGCGATCAAATAAATGCTAGCTCAGACTTTCGTAATGAGTATTTATTTTTTATAGCTTTTTCTTCATCTACATTTGAGTTTTGGAAAATTCAAATTTTTAAACCTTTTGAGCAATTGATGTCAGAAATGCAACAAGCAGGTAAACTGTATTAAATTTGACGATGTTGCTAAGATTCCCGCCTTTGAACAAAATGCAAGCATAGACTTGAGTATCGGCACTTTGAAATATGCTTTCAATTCATGCCAATTAACAGTCAAATTAAATATATATTATATGTATCAAATTTTACAGTTATTTATATGTTATTTTTATATATTATTACGTTATATTTATATATTTTTTGCTACATTTATATGTTATTGTATGTTATAAATAAATGTTATATTTATATACTATCATACAGTATATTATATGTATCAAATTATTTAGTTTTTTAACAATAAAATAACACCCTGAAGTTTGTTCTTCATAGTGTGTGTCATGATTTTTCTTTACCTACGTGCGTCATGGAAGCGTTGATGTATTTAAGATGACTTACGAGACTAAAAAATTACTTGTAAAGTTTTTTTTGGGAAAGCATACTCAAAAAAAACTTTTCAAAACATGAATTTTTCTCGAATTGTATCTGACCGAAATGAATAATCATTCATCAATCTCAAAAATAATTAGACGAAGCTAATCGCGAAAATGGTGTTAGACATTGCAGCAGAGTTTGCAACCTTTTACTATTTGGATGCATGGTTTAAAAAAGAATTTAAAGCTATTCTCACCTAAGTGAATCGTTCGAGAAAAGGGATAGAGAATCACTTTAAACATACCCAACGGTTGATGGAATTTCATCAAACGTCCTTTGTATAGAGAGGTTGAATGAGCGCATTAAAATATTATTTGGAGAGACTGTTTGACACGTAACCAAATTGAATTGCGTTTTTCAATAACTTTGGCAGCTTTATCAGAGTTATAACCAAGACAGTTTTTTAGTAATAAACTTAAACACTTTGGGTTTTGGGAAGTTATACTCTAAAAAACTTTTCAAAAAATGAATATTACTCGAAGTTTATCTCACCAAAATGAAAAATTATTTATTAATTTTAAAAATAATTAGACAAAGCTAATCGCTAAAATGATGAGACAGAACATTGCTTCTATTCATACATCGACTATCATTTATCCTGATGCCGCAAAAAAGTGCCGTTATTTAAAAATAATAATATTATAATTGATTATGGGTTTAGCTAGGGCAGCATTTTTTTTTTTCATTATTCTTTGTTTTTTTCTTCTCTTTTTAAAATCTAAGACTCAACTAAGCTATTTTGGGTTTTTCTAATCAAATTTGAGATTTTTCCTCCTCAATGATTTTAAGGTAATTTCTTAATTTCAAGAATGTTATCCATATCAGAGATTCGATATAAAACCTTTTAAACTTTTTTTGCAATTTTGAGAGGTCTTGTTACCCATATCAAATCACTGCGCCATGGGTGCACAAAATTTGCAAAACGCAGACTCAGTACGTTAGAGTTTTTTTTGAAGAAAAGTTTAACAAAAATATTTTTAAAACAGTAATAATTTTATTAATGTACTTAATATTTTTCTTGCTGACACCTAGTTTGCATTAGTTGAAAAAACAGTGAAAAAAAAACAACAAACAATTTATAAAACTGGTGTTATAAATTGGTTTTCTAAAATTATCGATAAAAATAATGCACATTTGTTTGATATTAATTTTTAAAAATGCAAAAAACATGCATTAAAGGACTGACCGAGCTGTCAAACTCAAGTGAAATAAGAAAAAAATTAGGAAGAGAGAAAAGATAAAAAAAATTAAAAATATATATTTAACAGATGTTTAGAACGAAAATAAAGACACTATAATAAAGCGTATAGTAAAAAATATAATGATAATTTAGACACCGCGCATATAATAGAAATGTAATAAAAACAAAACAGGACACATAAGTAACCATAAATCTACAGTAAATACAAATGTTTAACATTACATATATATAGATATATCAGTATTTAAGATGATCAAATATAAAATCATAGGAGGTATAAGATAAAGAAAAAACATTATTGCTTTTGTGTAATCATAATTTATGTAGCGGTGGTAACAAATTTCTGTTCAGAATCGCGTTTATTATTACCAGCGATTTGAAGAGGTTCAACACCAATACCTAGTTTATCCCATCAGAAAAACATCATCGCCATTTATGCTTTACCACGCGATATACGCCTACTCCATGCTGCAATAAAAAAGGACTTCATTACAAAATAGCTAAAACCTTAACTTCACCCAAATTTGTAAACCACTTATATTTTTTAATAAATAATATAGATAGTGAGAGTAGTGAATTCAATACCAAATAATAACAAATTTAAAATAAAATAAAATTTATGAAAGATAATAACAAAAATAATAAAACTATAACAATAATAACAAAAATAACAAATAACAATTAACTAAAATGTAAATGATAATATAAAATAATAAAAATTATTCTGATAGAAAACCACAAGATACTCAACTACACTACCAATGCTTTTAAATAAAACTTTAATAAAAAGTACAACAAATTGCTAAAATTGGTAATATATAATAAACTATGTACATTTGTTTGATATTAACGACTTTTACGACTAAATTACAGCAGAAAATTTAGATAAATTAATCGAATTTGCAAAAATTCAGAAAAAGTAAAGAACAAACTGTTCTTTTAATTAAACGAACTGTTTACGACTTTACTTTTAATATTTTTAGATTGATAATATTAAAAAAAAAATTTGACGTTTTCAAATACAATATGTAAAATACTTGACGTTATAAAATACAAGATGTTTTTGCAGTTTTGTTTTCACCTATTTTTAAGTTTCTTTGTTGAGTTCTGTTAAGAAAATCTATCTTTTCCCATTCGCCACCTTACCCCATTTCCCCCATGTCTATATTGCAATAACGGTTTAATAGCAATACGTAATAAATGTGGTCCCTACCTTAACAAAATCAGAAAAGATGTTATAATTATGGGAAATAAATATTTTTAAAAACATTGGCTTTTTAGTTTTCTAGATGTCACTTTTAAGCAATCGAAAAATTTTTGAAAGCTCAACAAATAGCCAAATTACTCCATTAATGTAAATTCATAGCATCCGTCAAAAATTCTAAAACAAATTCTTATTTCAATTAACAGCGGAATCAAACAATATATTTGGGATTATCACAGCGGAGTGTATATGTGAGGTACTGACTAATAGGTTGAACATGCAAAGTTTAAAGTTATCTATTTTTTTCTATTTATTCTTGGATTTCATATAAAACCTTTTTAGCTAATACACAGTGGGCTAGAGGTAAACAAAAATGTCAAATATTTGGAAATATTTAAAAGCCAGCTGTGACTTTTAGAAACAAACAACCCTTGTAGAATTTAAAAATACTTCTACATATTTACTTATAGTTCTATGGTTATTTTAAAAAGCAAATATTTTTAATTTTTTTAGTAGCTTTTTTTATATTTTTCATGAAAAAAAAACTTTGTGGTATTGAATTTCAGAGTTCGTAGAACTACTTTAAAATGAAACTAATTTAAAAGCATACTTAAATACTTTGAATAAAATATAATAAAAAGATTGTATGCACCCGCCTGCTTACCCCCTCCCCCATTTGCAAAGGTTGACTATAAGTACCAAACTTTTGAAAAATTTAGCTAAAAATTTGTTTTACAAAACTATATATGTATTGAGATAAATATTTCCACGCGTAAGTTAATAAAACCATTGCAATAATAATGTTTTGCAAAAAAAATAGAAATAAAAGTTAATGATTTATAAAATAGATTGTTTTACTAAATCAAGGTTAAATTCAGACATTAATATAGAAATTCAGAGATAAATATAGAGATTTCAAGTTTCATTTAATAATGTTTTAGATTTTGAAAGTAATGACCCTGTAAAGTTTCGAATATCCCCATAATGAGGAGTTTTTTTCATTTTTAGTTGGTAATAACCTTTTAACTCCAAAAAATTCAAAACATGCCAATTAAGTTAAATTTAGCTTATAGTAATAAAAAAAAAAAAAAAGCAGTAGGCAGCAACTTAAACAGCGACAAGGCGACTATCAATGTCAAGTATTCCATCATAAAAAAAGTTGAAAGTCTTGGTCAATTGCAGATTAAACAGATAAACGGCATGCAAGAAAGCAAGAACAAGCTGCGTGAAACGAATGGCACCCACTGGGCATAAGTATTTCATCAGCTTGTCAGTGGAAATGTAAAAGTTTTTCACAGCCATTTTACAGTGCCCAATGCAAGACAAATTCATAGTTTTGCTGTATACAAGATGAACCTCCACATGCCGGCCTTCATACTATGTCAAAAACTCAATCAGCTTGTTAGTGCTGTTCGCTTCGAAAGCCATTTTAGTGTGAATCTGTTAACCAGGACCAAACGAAGACTTCAGTTTAGTAAAAGCATTAGTCTC